TAATGTACATACTACTATTTCCTCGTTTTATAAATGGGGAAACAGAGGCTTAGAGAAGTTAAAAATTTTTCCGAGGGCAACAGCTAGTCAATGGCCATTCTGGGCCTCAGACTCACGCGGGTCCGCTGTGGATTTCTGGCTCTTAACCATCTTGCAGCATTTTCTGAGTTTGCCAAAACCCTGCTTCAGAGTAGAAATGGCTCTGGTTCCTTGCTCATCCGGGAGGAAGGTGGGGTGGCGCACCAGCCCCCGAGAGAGCCGTGACTGACTCCTGCAGGCCCGGCTCCTCTGGTTTGCGCTGAAAATGCCGCTCTCCTCCCAGCTCAGCAGCCAACCCCACCCCCACCCTACCCGAGCTGCTGGCAAGGCTGCCAGGTTTCCCGGGCAGGGAAGAAGAAAGCCTCCCATTAGCAGGAGGCTGCGGTTCGGAGCGTCCCTGGGACGAGAAGCATCTGTTGCTGCTCCCCATTGTTCCAGCTGAGAGCACGCTAATTGTCCCCTCCAAAGTTGGGCTGCCGTCTCTTGCCAGAGGGAAATTATGGACCCTTTTTCAGCAGGCGCTGTCCTTTCCGCAGCTGTCAGCTGAATGGCCCCAGGAGGAACAGACTGATTCGGAGGGTGGGGGGAAGTCCATCTTGCATCCTGATCCATGCAGCGAAGGAAAGTCCGCACAGCCCTGAAAGGAAGCAGCGCACCCACCAGAGGGACTCCACCCGAGAACACACAGGCCAAGGGGCAAGGACGTTTCTTGTCCATCCATGTGATTCCACGGCCTGTGGGATGGTTTGGCCTGCGGCTGTCGGATCATTCAGGAGCCTCAATACCGGCAGCATTTTGGAGTAAAAAATAGTAGAACATGCTTGGGAATCAGACTAGGCTGGGTTCAAATCCGAGCGCTGCCACTCATTAACCACGACCTTGAGCAAATCACTGTCACTTATCCACCTTGCAGGGCAACTGGGAGGAATACAGAAGCCAATAAACAACTATGAAATGGCCAGCACAGGCTGGCACAGAGCAGGTGCTTAATAAGGATGATTTTTTGGTTATAATTATTAATATTATTGTTATAGCTCTGCGTTGAAAGGCACATACAGGAGGGTTTCCTAAGTAAAGAAGCAAGAACAACACTCATATATTGAAAAACTATTTTAAGTCACCTACTAGGTTGCTTGTACTGTGCAGGCAGCTAAATCACGGGAGAGATTGGGTCTACTTGGAAGTCACCGAAGATGAATATCTTGAACAGGAGCTGGAAAAGCAGTTGTTTTACAGTGAAGAGGTCCTCCCGCAGAAGGAAGAGCTTGGGCAAAGACCTAGGGGTGACAAGAGCAAGGAGTGCCTCATTTGAGGATCTGAAACTAGCTTGGTGCTATCAGAACTCAGGACCTAAGAGCTGGAGAGGATCAATAATAGAATAGATAATTAATAATGGAAGGATAGTACCCTTAGCCCTGGTCATCAGGCAAATAGAGTCTATGGCAACCACCGGAATGCTGTACTTCATGTGGGATGTATGAGCACAGAATGGCGAGGGTGAGACACTAGGAAGGTCTGAAGCAATGCGGTACGCACCTTAGTGCGTTGACCACCACTTTGTAATGCACCACAAAGTGACATGCAGACTGTCCTCGGCTGCAAGGACAGACTGCACACAAGGGCACTTCCCAGGAGAGAGGAAGAAGGGAGATTTATCTGCCCAGCTCTCTCTTTTATTTCTCATTGATAAAGATTGACTGCTTCCAGGTCACTTCATCTGTCCCATCGGTGGCTACTCAGAGAGGCATCCCTTGCCCAAGATGCAGTATCATGTGCCAGTCTGCAAGAGGAGGCAGAACCCAGCACAGTAGGGTGCAGATCAAGAGACATCAAGCAGGAGGCAGGCGAGGGTGTCTGCAGGGATATTCAAAGCTTATGTGCTGGCTCTGGGGGAACATAGACTCCAGAGAGGAAGGGGAGGAGCATTGTCTTTATTGATTGCTGTAGCAGAGGCTGCTGGTGTTCATTCATGTCCCATTCCCTTTTCTTCTATTCAGCTAAACTACATTTCCCATATTCACACTTCTAGCCATTGCATTTAAGTGGGAGCCTTGACTGATTTTGGCCAATGAACCATAAGCAAAAATGATGTATGCACCATGTTCAGGGCTGGCCGGAATGCCTCCTACAGTCTCTTCCACCACCTTTTTCTCTCTTGTCCTCCAAGGCTATAAAAGACAGCCTAGAGCCAGGTGCAGTGGCTCACACCTGTAATCTCAACACTTCGGGAGGCAGAGATGGGAGGATCACCTGAGGTCAGGAGTTCAAAGATCAGTCATGGAGAAATCCTTTCTCTGCGAAAAATACAAAATTAGCCAGGCGTGGTGGCACGTGGCTATAATCTCAGCTACTCGAAAGGCTGAGGCAGGAGAATCACTTGAACCTGGGGGGTGAAGGTTGCAGTGAGCTGAGATTGCACCACTGTACTCCAGCCTGAGCGACAAGAGCAAAACTCCATCTAAAAGGAGAAGAAGAAGAGGAAAAAGAAGGAGTAGGAGGACTAGGAGGAGGAGGAGGAAGAGGAGGAGACACACAGTATAGAAGCTGACTTCTCAAGACACCCCCTGAAAGACAGTCACTCTGAAGAGCTCCCCTACCAGAAACACCCTCACTGGACTTTGAGTAAGTGAGGAATAACTTAGATGGTCTTAAGGCACCGAGCTAAGGAGTTTCTTGTTATAAGAAATTTCATCACTGTGCCCTAATAGATACCTGACCCCATGATGTTCCACAGGTACTATGCTAGTTTAGCTCAAGTCAACCTTTCAACAACTCAAAAAGGGGGAATTAGTATTCCCATTTTATAAGTGAGTAAACAAGATTCATAGAAGTTGCCTTGTGGCCAAGGTCACACAGCAAGTAAAGGGAGAGCTTGGATATAAACCCAGTCTTGGCTTTCTCTTTTCACTGAGTTATTCTGCCTGCTCCCCTGGAGTGGAGAGTCTGTGAAAGAGAGTGGAGGAAGACACACATTCCTGGCTTTAACTGGGTAGCCCAATTCCGCAGCAGAGTCCAGACGCTGGTTTCATCCTTGTTCCTGCTCCAGAAAAACACTACAGTTAACTGCTAGAGAGAGACACTCCAGAGGAATCAGTGGGGATGACTCGGTCACTCAGTGATTCTCCTTTATGCTTCATGGGACAGGGTGATGAAGAAATCAGGAGGAGCCTCATAATTAGCAATCACAGGGGTTAAATTAAAAAGAAAGAAAAAAACACCACTTAACCACAATGAAATTATATAAAATTATCTGCTAGTATTTATACAAAGATCTGATGCTGTCCTCTGCAATAAAGGCTCTATATGGCTTGCAAGATACAGTAAAATTAATTGTATATTGGGCTGCTAGGCACTGTTAGAATAGCATGTTTATTTAAGCAGTCCCACAGCTTCAAACATTGAGTTGTAAAGGTCCAGTCGCAGTAAAGGGCTTAAGGAAGAGAGGCTCAGGTCCTTGCATTCTCCCTGGGGCCAAGTCACAGGGAGCTTCATGGTTGTCTATTCCACTGGGTATTTTTCCTTAAACAGCCCCTGCCTGACAACACCTGGCAGAGCCCTGAACATGAAGAGGTGTGATCTATCTCTTAGTTTTGCTCCATAGCAAGTCAGAAGGGAATTAGAAGTGATTGTCTTAGAAGCTGAATGAGAACAGTCTCTATACACAGGGATTTAGACTGGATAAAGGGTGTCAGGTTCAAGTTCATTGAAGAAAAGACAAAAATGAGCTCAAGCAAGCATGATTGGGAGAAATCAGGATACTGTGAAGAGATGGCTTCCTCTTCACCAAAGTTACTGTCTGGTTGCTAGGAAACTGCTTCCCAGCCAGGGCTGTGTTTCCCTGTCTTCCTGCACCCATATGGGGCTGTGGAACGTCACTATCGGAATGTGCGCAAAAGTACTGGGTGACTCTTTCTGACCAAAGAACTTGAGAAGCAGGGGTGCCTGCAATCCCCCTCCTTTTTTCTTCTGCTAGCTTCCTACAGAAGAACACAATCACCTAGAAATTGCATGTTAAAGATCACAGAGCCACAAAATAAAAGAAACCTGAATCCCTGGATCACCACCTGGAGACGAGCTAATGACCAGTGAGGAAGATCCAGTTCAGACTTTATGTGAGTGTAAAGTAAACTTCTATTATGTTTATGCCATTATATTTTGGGGATTATTTTGAGAGCAGCTGGTATTATATCAATACAGTAACATTAAGTCCTAAGATTGAAGAACATTGCCTTCTTTTTACATTCATTTATGTGTAGGAAATATATGGTTGCTTTCCCCTACTATACCCACTGGAAATACTGTGTGTAGATTATAACATTTTTGTCATTCTTTCTGTGACCTCAGAATCCTTCTTAACATTGCAAATAATACCAATTTATTACGAGTTCCATGAAGATGTAACTTAAAATAATATCTATTCCAACACAACTGTAAGTTTATTGAGACTGGTGTTTAAAAAATCTATCATGGAGCATATCATCAAAACAGAGCAACAGCTCAAAAATGTCACTGAATGAGTGAATTAGTTAATAAATGAGTGGATAGGTGTTCTACAAAGATCTTATTCTGATATATTTTCAGCCTTCCTTGGGTCAGAGAACTGCTAAAATCATGGAAACTGATAATTATCAGAATAATAAAATTCAGGTGTTAAGACTCCTAATGGACTTGAGGGAGCCTTCCTAGAATGAAAGGTCTTTAGTCATTGATGATCTCTCACACTTTACATTATCTTGCCTATACAGAAAAAGCAATCAAAACTGTTCACACCTGCTTTGAGATCCAGTGTCAGAAGACATGATGGGGAAACCCCTCTGTTGTTTGGGTGGTGTCTTGAATGCCATAGCTAGTCAGACTGTTTAACTGGACTCCTCCAAGAATATATGTACACAGCAGTACTGATGGTCATCCTTTTCCTTTGTAAAGCACCAACTGCAGTAGCTGGATTCTTGCATCCATAATCTTATTTGATTATTTTATTTATTTAAGTGAAAAAAAAAAAAAAGAAATATACCCATTTAGCAAATGAAGAGAGAATCCCAGAGGAGATGTGACTTGACAACAATACAGCGTGTTAAAGACAAGCTCAGGTTCAGAATCCAGGACTTTTACAATTTCATTCATTTACTCATTCAGCTCATATTCGATGAATACATATTGGCTAGGCACCTACTGGCCCCTAGGTCTCAGTGCATCAAAATGTCAGGCTTCCACAGTGCAGATAGATATTTCATCACACGCTCTCATGTTTGGCATTTTTTGAAGTACAGTCCTTTTTTCTTTGTTTTCCTGGTGGAAGGAAAACAAGCAAATTTGATCTGAGCCTTGATATGTCCCTGCTTTTCCTTACCCCAAAGAGTACCATATGCTGAAAGGGTCTATCTAAGCACAATCCAGTTACCATTGCAAGAAGCATCAAATAATTACATTAATTTATCAGACTGTTATGAACAAAGTTGTGGAAAGGATGTCACATCGGAAGAAAACACTGAACCCCACTTCTAGAAGTATGTGCAATTTTGAATGTGTCTGGAAATAATGAAGAAGTGGTCTAAATTCAAGAATTGGAAAGTCTTTGATGGGCCCCCAAGACTCTGGAAGGGTTCTCTCAGTGCCTTAACCTAGGTTTTGGATTTACACTTTGAAAAATGCAGCTATCAGTTCAGAGCCAATTTCCATATATACCGCAGTCCAGCTCTTCTGGCTACAAACTGCCATGGCATCTGAGATAAACATGGAACAATCCCACATGGAACTGGCCACTTGGTCACTTCTCATGACTTTAGGGCCCTCTGATTCAGATGCTGACTTCCAGCCTAGGCTATTCTCATCAACATAAGAAGGTAGGAAGCTGAGGATGTCCACTGGGGGCCATTCCTTCAACCACTGTGAGACTCACAGAAGCATCAATTCCTTGACTGATCCCTAGAGGGGAAATAGAAATTATCCTGGAAGAAGGATGATGGCATTGTGAGTTGAAAGTTAACTGTCACAGAAAAATGAGAGTTTAGAGATCTTGGAGCATGTAACAGCTTTTTTTTTGTTGTTCTTTGAGAGGGAGTTTTGCTCTTGTTGCTCAGACTGGAGTGCAATGGTGCTATCTCGACTCACTGCAACCTCCGCCTCCTGGGTTCAAGTGATTCTCCTGCCTCAGCCTCCTGAGTAGCTGAGATTACAGGCATGTGCCACCACCCCTGCCTAATTTTTTTTGTATTTAGTAGAGATGGGGTTTTACCATGTTGGTCAGGCTGGTCTCGAACTCCTGACCTCAAGTGATCCACCCACCTTGGCCTCCCCAAGTGCTGGGATTACAGGCGTGAGTCACCACACATGGCCAACAGCTTTTTTTTTTTTTCAATCCATAGAAAACTTGCTTTTACAGCTCTCCAAGGTTGCTTATCCAATCTCATTTTCCCCTCCTACCCTGAAGGTACTCTTTACTCCACTCCTCATAAAACCCTAACCACATCATTTTTATTCCTGCTTCCCGAACTTTGTATAAACTACCTGAAATGGATCTTTCCCTTCTATCTGAGGAAGCAAGTCCTACGCAGTCCTCTAAGGCAGTTTCAACTGTGGCATGCAATCATTTATTTCCCTGAACTTTCTATAGCATGGAGACAAGGGTCCACACTACCCCATTCGTTGTCTTCCTTTGTTTATGATTGTTTTATGAGAAAAACACTCCTTCCCCAATAATGCTGCACGCTCCTTTGGGAAGCATGGTCTTTGCATTTGCAACCGACCTGCCTGCAACCTCTTTCTTAGGACTTTGAAAACTTCCTGGGAGAGGAAAGGCTGAGTTTCTTTGCTTTCTCTTAGGCCACCCTGTTTGCAAGGTTGTAACCATTTTTAGTTCCCTGACCTATGTACAGGGATGCCTAGCAGAATTATATCATTTATTATCTCATCTCCTTTCTGAGGTTATAAACATTGTGCAAAACAGGCAATACATCTTACACTCTTTGCGTGCATAAACTAAATATTCTAATTTTTTAAAATTAAATGTTACTGTTTATACTGTTGTCTTTTGGGCAATGTATGTGGCCTGTATCCTCATGGGCCTCTGTTGTTAGAGGCTATATTCAAAAGAATTCATCCAAATTTTGGATTTAAGTGGGTTTTCCGTCTGCTATGTATGGTTTTCAACACAAAATTTTTGAGTATGGGACAATCTGTACAATTCTCCTAGACATCCCTGCACTCAAATCAGGGAACTAAAAATGGTGGTGTCCTTGGAAACGGGGTGGCTTAAGAGAAAGCAAAGAAACTCAGCCTCCTCTTCATTCAGTAACTTTTGGAAGTCCTAGGGAAGAAAGAGGCTGCACACAGGTGGATTCCAAATTCAAAGTCCAGGCTTCCCAAAGGAGTGTGCAGGGTTATTGGGGAAGGAGCATAAATCATGGCAGTAGGTGGCATTTGTGCCTGCTGTACCCACCAACTTGTAAAGGGACCTTAATCAATTGCCCCAGTCCTCTCATGCTGGCTGAGGGCCAGGCAGACCTCCAACATGAAACCCAGCAAATGTGATCTGGGCCTTGCTCTGCCCCCACCTTTTTCCTCTCTCAAAGAGGATTCTGGTGCCAGCACCATATGTTGAAAGGGCCCAAGCACAATCCTATTACCATTGCAGGAGGCATTAAATAATTACATTAATTTACCTAAATATGGAAAAAAAATCTTTACAAATCAGGGACACTTGGCAGATTTTCCAGCTGCACATTTTTCGCTTGGCACAGCACACTGTCCTGTTGGGTTCCCATTGCTACTTGGAGTGTTTCCTTTAATTGTGGGGCACATGCCTTCTCTTGTTCTGTTTAATTTTCTCAGTGCTGGTTCCACATTCCGGCTACAAACATATTATAGGAAAAAAATGCCCACAAAAGTATGGATTGTGCTTGAGCGTACCCTAAGGGAGAGTGCATAAAAATAGTAATTTCTTGTATATGAAACCTTCCATGGGGCAGTCTTTCACTAGATTGCATTGTGAAAAATAAAAGGCTGAAGGGCTGAAAAGAGGGAAAAGGGCAAAGGAAGGAAAGAAAGAAAACTGGGAAAGCAGAAAAGGGTTCTGCAGTGGAGTCTCAGTGGACACACATTGGAATTCCATGTGTGTAGGGCTGGTGAACTAGACTTGTCTTTGGTCTTGTAGTGGAAAGGTCCACCAAAGGAACGTCTGCATTTTCATGGCCAACGCTTGCTGTTAACTGTCTCTGGTCAGTGTTTTTACTGCCAACGTTTGCTGTGTCTAAATTGCAGACCTCCTGCCGTGGAAGTTGAGGGCTGAAGTGCAGGTAATATTCACAGAGACCCCACTTCCCTGATTCAGCATGTCCTCACAGGAAGGCCACAGAGAGTGACTGCCACCCACACAGCCCAACTCCAGAGGCCGAGGAAATGGAGGCCCTGGCCTCTTACAGGTTCCCCTGACTAGAGACTGCCTGACCTGGGATTCCCTCCCTTGGGATAAGGACTTCTAGAGGGTACGTCTCAAATCCTCTGTGTCTTTTGTTTTTAATTTACTGAAGACCATTATTAGTAGTAGCAGTGGTAGTAGCAGTATTTTGTGTGATAGCACTTGGATGTCTCAGTAAGGTCAGCTTGCTGGATTACATTTCTAAGTACTTCCTCTTTATTTCTAGCCTTGCCTCATCATGGAGAGGTAGCAAGCAGCGAATGAGCATCATTCTATGGCCAACACCTTGAGTCACTCAGTTCTAGACACAGGGAGGTGAGATTCAGCTAAATTGGCCCCTTCCAAAAGAGGCTGTGCAGGGACTTGCACTGACAGTGGGGGTAGATGACAACTGTCACAGAACAGAGGAGGAGGAGCTGGTGCCCTGGAGATGAAACTTCCCGGTTCCCAGATTTTCCAGAGCATCCACTGAGCCTGCAAACAGCTTTGGTGATTGACCTTCTATCACTGTCTCTGAGGTCTGTGGGGCCAGGGTAGCTGGAAAGGTCTGAGCATTCTTTTCTAAGGTAGTGTCTTCCCTTGTTAAAAGGTAATAATGTGCAGATAAGACTATAGTGAAAATAAATTAGAGGAAGCAGAAAAGTGTGACTTTTTACTTCCCTTCTTACTTCCCTTCCCAGAAGTGGTAGAGATCCCATTCAGTGAAACACCCTGCTAGTCTTAAGTCACAATCCGGCAAGGCCTCTGGCTGTGGACATGATAAAAGGCTTAATTTTCTGACTTAGCCACGTCCCTTTCCTGCTCATCTCCTCATCTCCAGCCCTTGGTAGGCACTGTGACTTTTCCTCCTCTTGTTGCTCATTCCTGCCGTGGCCTGATGCCACATTCTGGTCCATCTTGCAGCCTCAGCATCGCTGTCGATAAGCTTGTGATACAGTTTGGCTCTCTGTCCCCACTCAAATCTCATCTGGAATTGGACTCCCACAATTCCTACATGTGGTGGGAGGGACCTGGCGGGAGATAATTTGAATCATGGGGGATGTTCCCCAATACTGTTCTTGGAGTAGGAAATAAGTTTCACAAGATCTGATGGTTTTATCAGGGGTTTCTACTTTTGCATTCTCCTCATTTACTCTTGCCACCTCCATGTAAGAAGTGTCTTTCCCCTCCCATCATAATTCTGAGGCCCCCCCGGCCATGTGGAACTGTGAGGCAATTAAACCTCTTTTTCCTCTGGGTCTCAGGTATGTCTTTATCAGCAATGTGAAAATGGACTAATACACCTTGTTACAAATGTAGAATCTTCGGCCCTGCTCTTTCCTGGAACTATTTCCTCAGATTCCATGAGTTAACAATAGCCTCAAGGGATTTTTATATACATTAGAGTTCCAGACACGCTCCCCTATCATCTGTGTTTGGGGCTCCCTTCTGCCATGTGGGAGAGGGTGTATTCAAGCAGGACAACTGAAGAAGTTTGGATGGTGGGAAATCGATAAGTTGAAGCAAAAAGGTTAGCAAATCAGGGAGTTGCCACCACCCCTAACTCTGAGAAGGCAAAGACAAGAAGCCACCAGAATCCTAGAAGCTGTCCTGGGAGCCTTCCGACAGCAAGTGTGGCCTTCGGTGGAGGAAGTGGGGAATGTACTAGACTTTCCCAGCCCAGGGGAAATAGATATCCCATCACTCCCTGATTCCCTCTCTCTCTGCTGCGAATGTCTTTGTTATGGGTGGGATGTGGCCCTTATACTGAAGCTCTAAGCCCCAGGACCTCAGAACGTGACCTCATGTAGCAATAAGGTTGTTGCAGATGTAATTAGCTAAGAGAAGTCATGCTGGAGTAAAGCGGGCCCCTCATCCAGTATGGATATCCTTA